TTTTTTTCCCCCAAGCTTTACTAAGAAAGGAAGGGCTGCCTGTTTTTGGTAGAGACTTGTACTCGGCATCTCGTAGGGACTCGACTTGTCAAGGTAGTTTCGTGAGTAGGTGAGGGGTCGTCTTCAAGAGGACCTCTCTCTAAGCGCCTCTGCATCTGATCTTGCTGGCTGGGTCACGTCAGCAAGAAAATACCCAGCGGCCTGAGAATAAAAATTCAAAAAATATTCATCCTCCCGGTCTCTGGTCCATTTTATACCCTCCTGGTGGAAGAGAGGCAGCAGGCAGTGCATCAGGCGGAGACGTGTTTCTTCTTGCAGTTGGGGCTCTGGAACTCTGTGGTCCTGTGACTTAACGTTCCGCTCGGTTTGCTCACTGTCAGCTGGCCTCACGTTGGCGTGGCCTCCTCCGTGTCCCCGCCCCACAGGGCTGTGAGTCAGCCTTCCCGCGGGCCTGCGGGATAGTGGCATGGCGCACGGGATGCCAGCGTGGGCCCAGCAGAGGTGGGGACGAGTTGAAAATATGTCATTCAAGGGTACAGGTGGCGTGGGAATGTGCAGCGATGGTATTTCCTCCGTTGCAAATGCAGATGATTTCACTTCTTGTTCCTGTTTAATCAGTGCTTTTGGGATCTTCTTCTCCGTAAGGGAGGCGCAGTAAAAACCCTCCGCCAGCCCTGGAAACCCTGTGCTCCAAAGCAGAAACCACAGATAAGGAAGGATGTCTTTTTTAGTATTGCAGGAAGTTGGGGCTTAGCTAAGCATTTCATGGGCCCGGGAAGACCTGTTACTCCCTTGGCGGATGTGGAGTGGAAACTGGCGTGCAGCCTCTCCTCTGTAAGCAGCGAAAACCCAAATCCTGGGCTGGCAGGCGCTCTTTGTTGCGCGGGCGCGTGCGGCAATTCCGGGCAGGGTCGGGCAGGGCCCAATTTCTGGTTTTGTGTGAGCTTACAGTTCAAGACACCGTCTGCTTCGAGGACCTGGCCTTTGTCCCTCTGCCTCTGCCGGTGCAGGTGACAGCAGCTGTAAGGCCACAGAGGGCGTCAGGTGCTCGGTCACCTGCGTGTGTCTGTTTGCTCCATCGAGAAAGGTTTTTGACATCTTAGTGCCCCTCAGGGAACTTCACGCGGTGGACCCGCGGGTTGTAAACAGAAGCGCTTTGGGAGCGAGAAAGAGCTAAGCAGGTGCAAAGTCACGTCCAAATACTTACGTTTTCTTGGCTTTCCTTTGTAGTTGAAGAACAGGCAGACCCAGGATAAGAGACAGAAGAGTAGTTTCTGGAACGAAATCAAGCTGTTACGGAAAGAGCTGAAGGAGAGGGAGGAGGCCGCCATGCTGGAGAGCCTCAGGTCGGCAGCCGTGGTGCTGGCAACGAATACAGGTGAGGGGGCCGTGCGCCCCGCTCGCGGGGGCCCCCCTCGACGGAGGCGCGGTCCCTTCCACGGGCTGCGGGGGGCGGGTTTGCATAGAACTATCCGTCGGTGTCGGGTAGGGTTCCCAGGGAAGCCTTCGGGCCTGCGGTCTTCCCGTAAGGAGGTTTCTCGAATCGGTATGGGGGCGCTCACGTTCCCTCTCGCGGAGCCAGCTGGCGTCTTCCAAGGAATCTGTTCGTTGAGTCTACGTGATTGCATTTGTAGGTCTAGCGTTCACTCTTTCCCCTTCTTTGACAGTGTAGCATCTCGGGCGACCTCACTTGTTTCCTTCCTGGTGTCGGTAATTTGACACTTTGTCAGGACAGTGATTAGCGGGGGCGTCCGGGCTGTGCAGGGCCCGAACCAGCCTTCCAGCAAGTACCGTAGAGTCAAGTGCCTCCAGGTGCGCCTGGGTGGCTCAGTCAGTCGGTTAAGCGTCCGACTTCGGCTCAGGTCATGATCTCGCAGTCGGTGAATTCGAGCCCCAAGCACTTGTCGGTCTCCATAACTGCAGGAGCAAATTCCTTACAAAAAACCGCTACGTTATATTGAGGTATACATATAATATCCTATAGGTTGTGTTTCGTGGTGGGTTGAGCGCCTGACTTCAGCTCAGGTCGTGATCTTATGGTTCATGGGTTCGAGCCCCATGTCAGGCTCTGGGCTGACAGCTCAGAGCCTGGAGCCTGCTTCTGCTTCTGTGTTTCTGTGGAGAACCCTAACTAACACAGGGTTTAGTTGGTTTAGCGTCTGGTCTCGGGAGCCGTCCTGTGCGATACAGGTGGTGCCCACGCTTGTAGATGAGAGAGGTTCAGGGTTGGGGGCCCTGCCCGGGCTCACTGCTGTCTGTGGGGGTTGGCGCGAGGCCCGGGTCATCCTTACACATGAGCTCTTGCCACGGCACTGCTCTTCCGAGGAGGAGCCGGGGCTGTGCTTTCGTGCCGTCACACACACGGAGGCTTCCCCCTGGATGGACGTTCAGTTAATTGTTCGGTACGTCTGGGAGAGCAGCAGAGAGGGGAATTAATTAAGCTCGAAATTCAGAAAATGATACAGGAATAATATTTAGAAAAGAGATGCCCTTCAGGGGACTTGGGCCCAGACCCAAGGGGGAGATCGATTCTGGTGATTGGACTGTGGGAGTGGCCCTTGGCCAGGGGCCCGCTGCTCACACTTAGACTCAGCTGGGCCGGAACGGGAGGTTTCTCGTGACCTTCCCCGTTTTTATTCTAAGACGCCCAGTCCTTCTTACACAGTCTTCATGCCGGGCTGGGTTCTGAAACCCCCGTCCCGTCGCGGCCTCGTCCGGCGTGGGTGCGGCCTCTGGCACCTTCTGTGAAGGCTCACGGTTCCGATTTCCACCAGGCGCTTCTCCCGACGGCCCTCTGAAGCTGCTGCCCGACGGCCACTTCGACGTGGTGGTCATCGACGAGTGCGCCCAGGCCCTCGAAGCCAGCTGCTGGATCCCCCTGCTGAAGGCCGGGAAGTGCATCCTGGCCGGAGATCACAAACAGCTGCCGCCCACCATCGTGTCCCCCAAGTAAGACCCCTGCCCACGGCGCTCCTCGGCCCTCACCCGCCACCCCTTCCGTCTCTCCTTGGGCGCAGCGGCCCTGACGTGCCCTCCTGCACGTTCCTGATGACAGCCCCTCGCGCCCGTTTCTTTTTTTCTTTAGTGTTTATTTTTGAGAAAGGGAATGCGCGCGTGAGTGAGCAGGGGAGGGGCAGAGAGAGAGGGAGACATAAGAATCCGAAGCCGGCTCCAGGCTCTGAGCCGTCAGCACAGAGCCTGACGTGGGGCTCGAACTCATGAGCTGGGAGATGATGACCTGAGCCGAAGTTGGGCGCTTAACCCACTGAGCCACCCAGGCGCCCCAAGCCCTAGCACCCGTTTTATTGCGCGTACTTGTTTAGAGGTCAGGCGATCCCACCGTGTGCTCCTGAGGTCGGGGGTCGTGGCCACCACACGCCTGTCTGTAGCGTCAGCACCCGGCGCCGTGGCCGGTCGTGCTGGGGGCACGGAGCTTCTCTGGCGAGGCCAGCAGGTTGATGTGCCCGTTCCCGCCAGGCGAGCCTCCCTGAGCCGAGGGAGGCGCCCCTGTGGGCCGGCCGGCTGGCCTCCGGGTTCGTTGGCGCACAGCCTGGCACGGGTTCTTCCAGTCCTGACCTGTAGGCGCGTCCTTTGACCTGGGCCACAGGGGGGACTCTGTAGAGACACAGCGGTCCCTGCCATTGCCGAGCTGCACTGGTCTTGCCACCCCTCCCGCACCGCTTCGGCCACACTGGCCTCTGTCCTTGCTGTCCCCGTCTGGACGGCTCCTTCCCGGACCCTGGGTGGCCATGCCCTCCCTCCACTCAGTACTTTCTCAGATGAGCCCACTTCGTGGGCTCTCGTGACCACCCTGCCTCAGCGGGTCCCCGCCCCCTGTGGGTCCCTTGTTACAGCTGCGCGTTCCTGAGCGCTCACTGCTCTCTGGCGGTGGTGCGTGTCTCTCTGTCCGTTCCCTGGCTGGTCCACCTAGAATGGAAGTCGTGTGCAGCCAGGACCACAGCCAGCGCGTGGGTATCTCTGACTCAAGTGCATCTCTAAGTGCGCCCGGGACCGTGGCCGCTCCAGCCACCCCCGAGGCGGGGGACAGGAGACTCCCAGAGCCCGGCGCCAGGGCTCTCCCTTCACGCAGGGGGCTTTCTTCTTGTCCCCCTGCTGCCTGAGCCCGGCCTCTCCTTCGGGGTGAGTGTGGACGGGCCACGCTTGACCGCGGGACGCTCCCTACTTGTTCTGAGGTCCAGCAGCCCTCGGAGATGTGGGGGATGTGCCCGCACATCTGTCGGGTGGAGCCTTGCTGGAGGGGGGTGCGGCCCCCGGAGCCGGGGGGGGGGGGCGTCAGGTCAGGATCCCTCAGAGAGAGAGTGCGTCCCATCCACGCAGTGTGGCTGGCAACCGGGGACTGCGTTTGGGAAGTTGGTCGTGGCCGGGGAACGGCCCCCGCGGTGGGAGTCAGCGTGCAGACTGCAGGACAGGAGTGGTCTGTTCCGGGGTCCCTGGGGGTCCTTGAAAGACAGCGTTGTCCTCCACAGAACTTTGTGTGGAAAAGGTCTGGAGCCGTGCCCTTGGGAGCAGGGACCCTCTTGTGTCTAGGGGGCAAAGTGTCAAGGGGACACGTGCTGGGTGCTTCTGTGTTTGCCGTTGGGACCGGTAACCACTTCACTCGTTTCTCTGGCATTGTTTTTGGTGGACGCCTTTATTACAAAAGGTTAAGCGCGAGATCTTACGAGCTACCGAGTAAGGGCCCCCGAGCTAGAATGAGTAAGCGTCCCCTGGTTTTAGTGTCACCCATGCGGCGAGAGCTGTGGTTAAGACGGCGGCTCCGGAGATCGCTGGCTGGGCGGCCTTGAGCTGCTCCCTTAACCTCTCTGGGTCGCACTCTCCTCCTAGGGAAGGGGCAAGCGCAGCGGTGACCCCCGCCTCAGGTTTTGTGGGCGTTAGGTTGACAAGTATCAGGGGTGCAGAGCGGCACCCGGGACACAGGAAGCGCCCAGTGCACGTCAGCTGTGGCTGTGCTTAGCAACGGATTACTTGCGGCCGAGGGTATCGGCTGTTGAAAAGTTTACCCGTAACAGCTCGCCGTTGCCGCTGTGCTAGATTTTCACAGACGCGGACGAGGTAGGTTTGCGTGGGTTCGTCGTTCCGCGGTTCTGGAAATCAGAAGTCCGAAGGCTTCCTCGGTGGTTCAGATCCAAGCATTGGCAGGGACGGGTTCCTTCTGGAAGCTGCGGGGGAGGATTCACTTGTCGGCCTCTTCCAGCCGGCAGAGGGGCCGCCCCCTTCCCTCGGGGCCCCTGTGGAGCCGCAGGCAGCGACTCCCGCCCTCCGGTCCCGTCTTCTCTGCCCGGACCCTCTGAGGAGGAGCCCGTGGCGGCCTCGGGCCCACCTTAGCTTCGCGCACGGAGGGTCACACATTCGCAGGTCCCAGGCTCGGGACCCAGGCTTCTCTGGGGGCCGGTGTTCAGCCGAGCACACCCTTAACTTTAGGCAGGAACTTGGGTGGAGCCGGGTCCCGAGGTTTGAGGGGCGGTGTCAGGCGGGACAGGGGGAACCCAGGCGCCCCTTCCCGGTTCCTCTCTTGGGGCAGGGCTGCGGCGGCGGGCCTGGCGCTCAGCCTGATGGAGCGCCTGGTGGCGGAGCAGGGCGCGAGCGTGGTGCGGACGCTGACGGTGCAGTACCGCATGCACCAGGCCATCATGCAGTGGGCCTCCGAGGCCCTGTACCACGGGCGGCTCACGGCCCACCCTTCCGTGGCGGGCCACCTCCTGCGGTGAGTGACCCGTCGTGCCCTCCCCGGCCCGTCCTGCTGGGTCCTCATGCCCCGGAGTCCCCTGTGTTCCCCGAACCACGCGCTGTAAAGACTTCAGAGTCACCCCCGAGGCCGCTTTCCGGGAGGGGGGAGGGGCCTGGCCCTGGGGAGCTCCATCGGGGCACTCGGTCTCCGGTGCTCCCGGGGCTCCTCGTCCTCGAGAGGGAAGGGCCCGCACCAGATGGGGCGAAGGGAAGCATCAGCCCTGTCGGGAAGGCCCCGGCTCTGCTTCGTTGCCCTGGCCTCATGTGTTCAGTGTCTGCCCGCGGTGCAGGGACCTCCCTGGGGTGGCCGCCACGGAGGAGACGGGCATCCCCCTGCTGCTCGTGGACACGGCCGGCTGCGGGCTCTTTGAACTCGAAGAGGACGACGACCAGTCTAAGGGGAACCCTGGTGAGCCTGCTTGGGCAGGGCCAGCCTTTGGGTTTGGACGGACCCTGAGCTCCTCTGTGTGGACAGCAGAGGGCCTGTGATTGTGGACCTTAGGGGGGAGGAGGGGGGGGTCCCCCGGTGAGCTGCGGGGTTCCAGCCGGACGGGAGCGCGCGGTGCCCTTCTCAGCGGGTGGCGCTGCTTCGGCGAAGGAGCTGGCCCGGGAGGGTGAACGGGGTGGTCCCTGCTCCCCCAAGGTCCCAGCCCGCCGGCTTGCACCCAACGCCGCGGGGCCCGCGTCCTTGCTGGCTCCAGCCGGCCGGCCTGCGACCCGGCAGTGCCCCAGGACGACGCTGTGTCCGCTGGCCGGGGCGGGTGGAGTCCTGAAGAAACCGGCACCAATGAGGGCGTGACCTGGACCCGCGGCCTGCTTGCTCCCCAGGAGAGGTGCGTCTCGTCAGCCTGCACGTCCAGGCCTTGGTGGAGGCTGGCGTCCGAGCGAGCGACATTGCCGTCATCACACCGTACAACCTCCAGGTGCGAGAGGGCCCCCTCTGCCAGTATCCGTGGGCTGCGGCTGACGGGAAAGGGGTGATTCATGGTCTCTTCTGACTGCAAACTCCAGGTGGAATCGACCACCTCACGACCGGATCCGGGGCTCACGTGACCTCAGCAAGAGCCTTTGTCCGTCTGTCCGTTTTACTTGCTCTAACGTGTCTGCCCCGTCCTGATGTCAGCCTTTGTTGGCTTTGTTTTCTGGCCAGCTTCCCGGTAGCCCTGTCCGGGGGCACTGTCCTTATGGGGCGGCCCCGGGGACCGCCTGACCCTCCACGGCATCTCCCACAGGGTCTCAGCTTTGGATCTTCCGCGTCGGGCTCGGGTCCCCATCCCTGAGCTGGTTGCCGTGGCTGGTGCGGGGTCCTTGCCCACCTCTGGGCGGGGGCACTGGCTGTGCTTCCTGGGACAAGCGTGGGCGGACAGGAAGATCGGGGTGCCGCCTGGAGGAGGGGTGGGGGTGGGCCGGCAGAACGACCCGTGCTCACTCCTTTCTTTTCTGCTCACGTCTTCTCTCTCGGCGCCTGTGGGCTTATCAGCAAAGCCTGTCTTCTTTGGTGGGAAAGATATGGCCACGGCAGGGTGTTGTGGGGTCCGTGGGCGGGCTGCCACCCCTTCCCGGCGTGTGGACACCACACCAAGGGGCGTCTGAGGCAGGTGGCTGTCGTGAGCCAGAAGAGCTGGTGTGATGTCAGCGCTGGGGCGTGGGTCACGTCCGACCTGTTCACGTGCTGCCTTGTGCGTTCACGGACACCTGTCGGACAGCGGCTCCGGGGCTCTGCAGGGCTTCCGTGCAGTGGTTTTGGTTCTGCAGGCTGAGGCCCTCGGCGGAGTCCAAGGGCGGAGTGTTGGGGCCGCCCTGGCCTGAGCTGCGATGGGGACGCGGCCTTGCTTGGTGTTCCAGGTGGACCTGCTCAGGCAGAGCCTCGCTCACAGGCACCCCGAGCTTGAAATTAAGTCGGTCGATGGCTTCCAGGGCCGAGAGAAGGAGGCTGTGGTCCTGTCCTTCGTCAGATCCAATAGGAAAGGTACGTGGGGCTCAGCAGACTCCTCTGGGGCAGCACAGAGGAGGGTCATCCGGGGGATGCGTACCAGATTTCTGCTCCGGGCTGTGCAGGGCGGTGCGAGTGTGGCCTCCGTGAGCTCAGCATCGGGCGAGAGGCGGGCGAGAGAGCGGGCAGGGGTGGGGTGCAGTGAGGCCCTGACCGGAGCCACCGGGGCCGGGAGGATCCCGAGGGGCTGCCTGTGAGCTGGGTGTTGTGGGGGGGGTGTGGGGGGGCAAAGCTGGAGGCTGAGCAGCGTGCAGGTGCGGGTGTGCTTGGACCACCTGGCATCCTGCCCCGGGGGCGGGCGGCGGGGCTGAGGCACAGAGCCTGGCTTTTGGCCTCAAGGTGCAGTTGGCCTCAGGGCCTGGTGTTTCCGCCACTGGGGCTTGTGGGTCCTCCATGTGGAGGGCGTGTGGGACCCTGAAAGGGCTTGTCTGGGCTTCGTAAGGTGCTTTCAGTGGAAGGTTGAAGGCAGACAAGAGAGGTGGGATAGACGGGGGTTGGGGACGGGGGAGAAGCTACTGGAGCACCCCCCTCGCTTTCCCGGGTCTCGGCTGCAGCCACCTCCTGGGCTGGGCGGAGGGAGGAGCCCGTACTTGGAAGTGACCGACGGTTTGGGGGTCCCACACCCGGACCGGGTGCCGTGGAGCCAGACTTGGGAAGCCGGGGTCAGGCAGCAGGGAGTCTGTGCAGGCATGATGTCCCGGCGGTCGCTGGAGGGGGTGTCGGCTGATCCCCGCGGTGGGCAGAAGCGTTGATTTCCTGTTCCTCAGTCTTGGGTCTGCTCGGCCACTCACTCTTGCCTCGTTCGCAGGCGAAGTGGGTTTCCTCGCCGAGGACCGGCGGATCAACGTGGCCGTCACCCGCGCTCGGCGCCACGTGGCAGTCGTGTGCGATTCGCGCACCGTTAACAACCACGCCTTTCTGAAGACCCTGGTGGATCACTTCACGGAGCACGGCGAGGTGCGCACGGCCTTCGAGTATCTCGATGACATCGTCCCTGAAAACTACTCCCACGAGAGTTCCCAGGGCCACGGCCAAGCTGGTGCGAGGCCCCGGGGCCCTGCCGCGGCTGCCGGGAAGCCTCCTGGAAGCTGGATGCGGGAGGGGGTTCGGGAGGCCCCGGCCGCCGCCGGGCTGCGGCGGAAGACGCCTGGCGGGAAGCCCTTGGGCCCTGAGGTCAGTTCTCAGCCCAGCCTCAACGGAGGCGGCCTCTGCCCGGAGGCCGCGGACGGCAGAGACCGCGCGGACCGCTTCAGGGCTGAGATAGCGGAGTTTGTGGCGAGTGAGAACACGCGGCTGGAGTTTCCCGCGTCCCTGAACTCACACGACAGGATGTGGATCCACCAGATAGCAGAGGAGCACGGGCTGAGGCACGACAGCACCGGTGAAGGGAAGAAGAGGTTCGTAACCGTGAGCAAGAGGGCCCCGCCTGCCCCGCCGCCTCCAGCGGGCGGCCCCACGGCCCCTGGCCCCACGGAGGCGGAGCCCCCTCCCGGGGAGCAGAGTGGCCGGGACCCCCCGGATCTGAAGGCTCTGCACCTGGAAAGGCTGCAGAGGGAGAAGAGCCGGCGGGAGCCACAGGCCGAGCAGGGGCAGCAGGCCTCGCGCTCAGGGCCACGCAAGTTACCGGAGAAGAAAAAGAAGAAAGAAGCAAAAGGTAAGCGAGTTTACCTGAGGAGAACACAAGCTCGGTGTCCCCTTAACGGGGGCGTTTGCCCTGTTTGAAATCCCCCACCCCCTCCCCCAGAATCGGGACGTCCTCTTGGTGCCACGGCCCTGATTCCGTGTCCCGCGCCTTGTTTTTAATCAGTTAGGTGTGAGCTCCCCGAGGGTGGCGATTGGCCACAGTGACCTCTGCCCCCCGGCTCCTCAGGTGGGGCCTGGCAGGTAGGCAGCCATCGGGGTGCAAGAGCCAGGGGGAGGGGACGAGGACGGCGAGCAGGAGCCCTCGGGCAGTTACGGACCCCCGTGCGGGCGGCAGTCTCGTTCACTCACAGCCCAGCTCGCACGTCCGCCGTCCCGGGTCCCCGTCCCAGGAAAGGGGCCGCCTGCGTCCTGCGCTGCCCCGTGGGGCTGTTTGCTCTGCCCCCCTCCCGCGCAGTGGTGGGGCATCCACGGGCATGACACGGATTTCCTGCAGACTCTGGGTAAAGTCGTACTCCTGCTGTTGTCCTCTGAGCAGGGCCACGGAGCGTTTGCTTCTTTCACTGAATTCCTGGGAGCAAAGCCGCGTGGGAATCACAAGCGTGATTCCTGGTCTGTGAAAGCACCACAGAGCGGGGGTGCAGCCGATGTCGTTCTGGGGGACTTAGCGGCCTCTAGGCGCCCGGCCGTGTGCTGGGGAGCGAGGTCAGCCCTGCTGCCCAGGAATGGGTGTTCTGGCAGAGGATGGAAATGTCAGGTGCCTCTTTAAACCACACCGAGAAGGTGCTGAGTGCCGTGCAGGGCAGATGCTGGGACGAGATGACAGGAGGACCTGGGAGAAGGTGTGTGGTGTGGTCAGTTGAGGACAGAGCATCCTGGGGAGACTTTGCCCCATGTAGGGGACGGTAGCACCACTTAGTTTTGAAGCGTTTCTTCAAGCCGCCTCCCGATTTCGCCTTGCCGCTCAGGTCAGAGCGTGACCCAGCAGGACAGGTCCCCAGAGGCTGTGCCGAGGTCCCAGCAGCTGAGAAGCAGAGGCCAGTCTGAGCGGCCCCCTCGGGCCATGGCTGGGGGCCCCCGCGGGGAAGGGTGCCACTGAGTGATCAAGGGCTGCCTGTCCCTCTGGAGGGCTGGGGGAATGACAGGTGCTCAGGCCCGCGGGAGAAGCGGTCAGTGCTCTGTTGATGAGATCTCATTTTCCGATTGGGGCCCGAACACCGTCTGCCTGGTCCCTGCGGCGTGTCCCTTTCCCGAGGTTGCCAGTGAGCAGCCAGCACCTTCTCAGGCCTTCTCTGAGCTCCCCTGGTGCTGCTCCTGGGGCATCAGCACATCTGGCCCTCCTTGCTCTCCGTAGAGCTCGCCTTCTACCACGGCCCGTCTGGGGGGACAGGGGAGGGGCACGTCCCCCTTCACAGGTGGCCCTGCCCGGAAGGGTGGCAGTGGCTGCAGCGGGGGAACTGGGAGGCCCTGTGGTGTACCAGCTGCCCCTCCCCGTCCCCTCCGAGGCTGACCTGGCCCGTGTACCTGGCCCCGCGGTGCGCCTCTTGTAGAGAATCTGCTCGGGGAAACGGCACGCCGCCTCGCCTTGTCTGTGCCCGTCAGCCACATAACTGACGAGAGCCACCCGGCTGGTGCCCCCCCGTGTTCCCTGCATGCCTGCGTCTGCGCGTGCGTTTGTGGTGGGGGCGTGTGTCCCACAGAGTTACGGGTGCGTGTGACCTCGTGTTCTTTTCCACTCGTGAGCGTTTCGCAGGAACTTTCCAGGACTTGTGCGCACCTGGTCAGGAAGCTTACGGCCCCCTGGTGCTGGGGCCTGTGACTACGCCCTGGTTCACCTGGCCGTCCCGGGTACGGCAGCGTCCGTTGGGCTTCGTTTGTACAGTCGATGGCGTGAGGCGCGTTCTTGTCTTTAAATGTGTGCTCA